CCTATAACACTGTTGATTATTCCGTTTTATATGAATTCCATGTTGTACGAGTCACTTAGATTTTACAAATACGTGTGCCGGGCTATGAACGGCTCACGTATTTGTAAAATTTAAGTGACTCGTACAACATGGAATTCATATAAAACGGAATAATCAACAGTGTTATAGGTGGATCGACTGTATTTGAAAGGGGAATATTTTTGGAAGCATTTAAAGAGTTTTTAATACCTCCAAGAATATAATACTATAAAGAATTACTACCTTTTTAGACGGAAAAAACCCTGAAAATTTTTTATAAGTACTAAAATTAATTCGTATGCGGAATAATCAAAGACGTAAATAACGTGTTAAAGGTAGTTTTAAAGTTTAAACACACAAACAATTCATCGTAATTAAAGCTTTATCAATGTCTATGTGTTGCTAAATTGAATTCCAACAATCCCAGAGGCGAGAATGTTTAATCCAATTACCCTCCTTGTAACGTCTGAATAATTAAATAGATTCCTCCCGACTTTGCTAGTGTGCAATTATATTTAATTAAAACGATTGTAGAACCAAGCTTCCGTTTTATTTTCTTACAGGTGTCCATTTTAGGACGGATGGTGACGTCATTCGATACCAGAAAACCCTCTACACCGACATTACGTGCGAATATGCGGTAAGAGAAGCCTTTTAAAATGATTTCTTTAAATCGATTAATTTGCATAAAAAGTGGCATAAAATGCTCTATTTATTGCGTTTATATTCGTAATGAATTTTAAATCTGCACGCGAATTTTAAATATAATTAAATTCTACACGTGCCGTTGAATTGTAATTGATTCGCACGAGGATTTAAACGTAATTTATTTCACGTGCATTTGATCAATTTCATTTGCACGTGAACTTAATTACAATCAAATTAACACGTTTACTCGAATTTAATTTAATTTTTTTTTTAAAATAGTTTTCGTATATTTTATATTACTTTTTAATTAAATAATTAATTAATATTTAAATTTGATTTGTCATATAGACAGACGATTTAATACTTTAAATATTTATTTTTACAAATAAAAATGTAACAAAAGTTTTAATATTTTCATCAAAATTAAAGAATTTATTTCAATTTTTCTAACATTTTTTTTGGTATTATAAACGACATTATTTGTAAATAATTCTAATGAAATTTGCTTTTAATTAATTTCGCTTCCATGTAATTTTAAAAAGTAATACTAGATGGCGCTGATAAGTTTAGCCGGCAGCTCCTTTCTTACCGTCAGGTGTCGCATTGGGTTACGTTTTCACCATTAATGGAGCCATTAAATTTTCCCAATATTTTTCTGGACGAAGGCAGAGGCACTTGTATTAATTTATATTAATTTTTTATTTAATATAAATAATATTAATTAAGAGTAATTTAAAAAAAAAATAAATTTTAAAAAATTAATAATAATAATAATATAATGTTGATAATTAACGTCAACCGGTTAGAAAAAAAATGTCGGAAGTTTATAATAGTGGACATTTTCCAGCACCTTTCTTTGCTTTTTTCCATTGGCATTTCCGCGCTGTAGGTTCCCACGTCTATTTCCGCGGCCACATCTGTCCCGCATCCCTTCTCACTCCCAACAGCACCCTAAGCCACCAACGAGACGTTCGCTGTTGGGGGACACCTGGATCCCCCTTCCTCCGTCGCTACTCCCCCAGACATTTCCTGCTTCCACGGAAACCGATTGATGCAGATTTCAAATCATTGCAAAACAGTTTGTTTATCCGACTCTCTTGTTTTCGCCTCCTCTACGTTTTCCCCCCCCCCTCTGCTTCCTTCAAAGCGCTGGTTTTGCCAATTATAGCAAATTGCTCAAAGTTTTTACGCAATATGACGGATCGGATCGCTTAAAAGATTGATCTTCTCCACAGTTATACTTTGCACACTTATTCCTATAATTACATGTACATAATATATATATTTTTTACGTGGTGAATTATATAGACACGGGGTTTTTTTTTTTAATGCAAACGGTTTGTAAATAATATTGCATAGATGAATTTTAAAAGGATTTTTTTCTGTACTCTTCGGGCATAACTTGCGACTTTTTATCTATTCCATCTGTTTTTTTATTCTATGAATTTTTACAATGTACGGATCTTGTTATCGATAGATAGATAGATAAATGACTGGCTCCGAGGTTAAAATTTATCACTTAAAAATGAATTTTCATTAAGGAATAGACTGAATGTATAGTATTTAGGATGGATGAAGACGATTCCGCATTAAAAATAATAAATTTACGGCATTGTACTTAAAATATTGCAGTCTATTCATAGAGACATAACGAGTCTGTTGACATCAGACATCGTAAAAGTTTTGCAATAAAATATAGTTCCATACATGGATTTTGATTATAAATTTTATTAGAGTCTATTAACTTGTATATATATAATTGCATGTATTATTTAGGTTATGTTGGATTGAATTGCATCCTTATCAATATTTTTTTTTTCATTTAATTATTATTTTTTTATATAGAGAATTAATTTAATAAGAGAAATTTATTTCGAAGATGTAGAAAATAAATATATTATACCAAAATAATAATAAATAAATGAGAATATGTGAATAAATAAGGATGAAGAATAGCTTTACATAGGTAAATAATTTTATTTATATAGGTTATTGTTTACGTAGCTTATTACTAATGAAGATTTTAAATTCAAAATGCGTGAAATACGAAAAGAATAAAAAAAAAATACAAAACAGCTGCCTTCGTTTGTTCTCTTGGATAATATCAAATAGAACGACAATAGAATATCCATTGTGGAAGTCTTTCTAAGAAAACATTAGCATTGTTTTTTTTTTTTTTAAAGAGAGAATAATGTAAGCCCAGTAGAAAGAATCTTTTTACGTAGGATATTCCGAATTCGAATTTAAAATCATTTATATAAAAGTAGTTATAGATTTAGCTTTGTCTCGTAGATTATCAGCTGAGAGCTCCTATGGGCAGATGAACTCTAAGTAAGAACAAGGTGGGACGTCCGTGCGAAGTCAGCTGGTTCTAGGTTTGGAGGGGGACAGATGGCTGAGCGGGAGTCAAGCAGCTGATATCTTCTCCTCATAACCCTTCTGGTGGTGTTCCCTGCAGCTGTTCGGGGTTACCAGGTGTTTCCTCCGGGGTTGGCTAAGAGGGAACTACGAAGAAAGAGATTGTCTTACGAGATTCGATGCGAACTTTTCGGCAACTTCACATCATTTGCATAATATTTGTAATGTGTAGGCATTAAAATTATAAACTGGAAGCATTCACAGGTTTAACATAGCGTATTGTTTGATTATAAGATTAGTTTTTTTTTTTTTTTTGTTTTTTCTTTCTTGCACTTAGTTATTTAGATATGACTGTATTCTTATGAATACAGAAACGGTACGTATTATTATTGGATATAATAATTATAATTGAAGATAGTGAATGGAGGCTCTATGTAAAAACGTTTATTAACATTCCAATAATTTTGATGATTGTATAAATTGTTCTTAGGAAAAAGTAAAGTGGCAAAGACCATAGTTTTAAGGACTGTCTCTTTTTGTTTAGTTAATAGCTTTTCTTTATAACTTTATTCGAATGCTAGAAAGCTTTTATTGACCAGTAAAACTGCTTTTTTGAATGCACTTTCGTTTGTCGCGTTTTACATCTCGGAATCGGATCTTTAGAAGAATCGCTACGAACAAAAGAAAATGGCGACAAATTCATTTCCAGACCGCACAATTATAGACTCATTCAGTCGAACCGAATGCGTGCTTTTCCCTCGGAGCGTTTTTCCGCCAAACTGTGACATTTGCGACACGCGCCAAAAGTCCTTCCTCATTCTCCATCTGGCTAGAGAGTCATCGGCGCGCGTCGCGAATACCAACACAATCCCAAAAGTTAATTCTCTATAATTCGTCAGTTGACAAATTTCGGGAAGGCAGACCAGCGGTTCCATTCATCAGTCTCGTCTTCCCCCGAACGACACTAAAGTGAAGTAATGAAAAAAATATATATAGCGAAAATTAACTATCCTCTATAGTCTGTGAAGAGCGAGTTGCCTCCTCGTGCGTTATTATAATCACCTGGTTCATCCTCCTTGCTATTCTCCATTAATCAAAGTGTCTTGCCACCGCGGAGAGCATCTGGTATAGTTAGATCTAAAAGCAAATGATCATTAATTACAACGAATTTGAAACTGTTTTAACGGTTGAGCGCAATTCATCCATTCTGAAGTGCGAACCTTTTAAGAGTTTGTACGGGTCGATCAACTTTTATAATAAAATTAATGCCCGATAATTTGATCAAAACGTCCGGATAAACAACAATGTTTGTTAGTAAAACGTGATTTATGATCCTTATATGTGATGTCCTAAATTTTAATGTAATTAAGTGTGTAATCCAGTGTTTTCCACGCTCGGCAGTAATTCGAGAGCCCTGTTTTATCGATTATTATATTATAAAAAGTTGTTTTTATTATTGATGATTCGAGCGATTAAGTTCATTTTTAATCCTGACACCCAGCCATTAATACACGTGTTAAATGTCATGTATGGATGCAGTATGTATGCATCATACATGCTTAAATACGCACATACGTATCTATATTTGGCACGTATAGCCTAATGTTTATCACGTAACTTATTCACTGAGTTTATGCATTATGAAGATTATAGCCACTATTTTGGTTCCGACATGCTTACGTAATGAGGATTCATTATCTAAACAAGTATAGAGCTTGCGAAAAAGTGTTGTGGTTAATGAGTAAGAGAAATCTCTTCCTTTCTTCTGACTCCAGGAAGGCAAACGTATCATTAATAAATGGTCAAAGAATTTCCGGAAGGACAAGAAGGTCGATTAAAAAGGCTATTCAGCCTTTGACCCCGGATACCTTAGCATATCAATAGCCATTGCGTGCAGTGCCCTCTGTCGGTGAAAGAAGTGAAGTATAATGGGAGGCGACACATTCGTCGACATTGAAGGTGCATAAACGACAATGAAACTTGTAAATGTTCGGCCGTCAACCCCTCCTATTGATGTCTCGTTACGCTTCATAGAACAGTACTGAGTATAATACGATGATTAAATTGAAATAGTAATAGCGATTAAGGAATTGATTGGCATCAGTTTTTCTATCAACTCGAAGAAAAAGTTAATCAGATTGTTAGGGGGCGAATTTCGGGGCAACGAGGTGCTCTGTTCTGCTCCAAAGACTGGCTAAGGGCTTAAAACAGAGATAAGAAACCGAGTGGACGGTCATCGACCTGGTCATATATGATGTCGTACAGACGAAAGTACTTTATATATATATATAGGGTTTATGGCAACGACGTCTAACATTCACTTCTCTATTGACAAAATTTATCTATGTTGACTTTATTTTGCGCCTGGAGTGTTGACGCCGTTGGGTTAAGTCGTATTGATAGCAGATAGCAAATAGCCTATCTCGAGAGGCCTTCGTCTTCCAAATGTTCTAATGGCATATGTTCTATCACGTGCTTCTCTTTGTGGTTCTTATACGATGCGTAAACTGTCCTTCTTCCATTTACTACGTTAAGAATTTAAGAAATTGCTACACTTTCTTGATTTCGTTTTGTAATCATTAGTGTAAGAATTCATCTAAAAGTCAAATAACCCAGATAAGGGGAGGAACTGTT